AGGGGATTCCTGATAGTCGATTTGTGAATAGTACCCTTCCCCCCACTAACAGAAGGCACCTGCGGGAGGGTACCTGGAAAATGGTTTTTTATCTTGAAGAAACCCCCGTTAAGGTGCTATGGCGACGTGGGAGGGATGGCAATTGGTGCCAAAAGGGCACCATTTTTTTGCATGATGTCGCTTTTGGGTGATGCCAAAATAGAATCTTGCTGGTAACGGGGTTATGACACTTCGTCAAAGCGAAATCGCGTAAACCTGCAGGTGAACTCGTCAAGGGATGGAACTGAAAAAATGTGAACATGGTCTGGGCCCCACTCGAGTAAACCCGAATCTTGGGAGAGCCAAAACGTCGAAAGATCGATTCGCTTTGGGCCAGAGAGACCCAAGACGTGACGCATTCTGAGCGGAAAGCGCATCAAAAGAAAAACGACTCCTTTGGAGCCATCTGGGTGTGTGTGTGTGCCCCTAAAATGGACTTCCTGGTTGTTTCCCAATAAAAAACAACAACCAACACCAAAGGGATCTAAGGGAGTCGATTCGGGCCAAGGTCTGGGGCGTGTTTTTCTTTTTTTGCGGCGGGTGTTGTTTTGCAGCTCGGGGCAAATTTCCGCCGCGCCTGGGGGGCCGAAGATGGTGTGGGTCTTGCCGCTGCCAGTCTGCCCATAGGCCAGCAGGATGGAACTGAACCCAGGCTCAACCAAGAAGCCTCAGCGAAGCTCGCGGAAGCTCGCGGGTCTCGGCCCCGGAAATGAGTGGTGTCCGTCGGTTTTCCTAAAAGCCACAAAAACGGGCCGTGGTAAACCCCCTTTTGCTTTCCTTTGCTTTCCCAAGGCCCGGGTGGACCCCATGTTGGCTGGTTGAAAAGGGGGAACCAAAAAGGGTGGTACCCTGTTGGGTATCAAAACGGAAACCAAAAGGGCCTGGTATTGAAGGGAAACCACAAGAAAACCCTTGCCATTCTATGCGACCACTACTTTGAGAAACCCCCCGACGCGGCCGCGAAATTGTGGCAAGTGCAGGGTTGCGAAGACTTCGGAAGTCTAAAAATGGACGAGGAAAGGAAAACACCACCAATATTCTACCCGGTGATGGCGTGCCATGCAGTTAACAACAGGCTGCCCTAAGACAACCTGGTGGACACCTTGCGGCCCTGCAAGTTTCTAGGGAGCCTGACGACGGGCGCGTTGCTGAACGCAGCACCTGTGGCCGGTTGCTGAACGCAACTTGTTTTCCAAAAGGCTAACGCGCGGTAGAGGCCACAAGTTGGGTCGTTCTTTGGAGAAGATCAACATACCTACCGTTGGAAACACCACACATGTTGGACAAGTTTCCCGAGAATTTATTCAATCAGGCGGACAAGAGAAATGATCCATCGGCGCGGTCTTGAAATGGTCCAACTGCTTCTTCAATGAGGGGTTCGTACCTTTTTCGGGCCCCATCTTAGCGCCAAAGGCTTTCATGGGCATGGCCCAGCCAAAAATTATAGGAAAACCCAAATCTTTGTTTGCGTTTGGACCAAAAACCATAGAGGCCCATTGAAAGAAATATAGAAAAACCTAGAAAAACAAAGAAAAACTAGAAAAACCTGGAAAAAACATTTGGACCATGCGTTCACCGAGTGCCTGCACAGTCATCCGTTCTTGCTTTTGTTTTCTAGCAGAATTCCCGGAAGGGAGCTGCCTGCGGTGGTTGCTGCGTGCCACACTTCAAGTGGAAAAATTGTGGAAACTTGAAACACATGCTATGTTATCAGGCGCTCAAGACATTCGAAAGACGTCATGCCGCGTGTCGCTTTGGAAGCTCTGCCCCAATCCCCCACATAGGCCGATCCTTGTTCCCGAAGCCAATTTCAACCAGGACTCGATCATCTGGTCAGAAAAAGTAGCAACCGGGGCATATCCAACTGACATACAGGTCAAAAGCAGGGTCCCGTGTGCGTGATTCCAAGGAAGACTTACACCCAGTGTTTCCGGATTCTGAATAACATCAACCCGTTGGCTTTAAGTTGACCTTGAAACTGAGGACCCAAAATCCTTGGCCCAGCCCCATAGAAAAAATCAAATATTATCCGATCCGGTTTCATATCTAGCCAGCCTGAAAAGAGATCATGGGCAGGGATGTTGGCTTGCCTTGACATGCTAAAAAAAAAAAAAACACACACACACACAACTCGAAACCATGCAGCCCCATTTTGGGAGACACCCGCCTTCCTCGAGAGAAAAAGGCCTTACCAAGCCGCGCTCCAGCTGCGGCTCCAGCACTCTTTGGATCACCACCTCCTGGCTCACCTCCGGCCCGAAGACCTCAAGGTGAGCTGATTTTTGTGGTCTCTTCAATGGTCATAGACGTGGCTAAGAACATGAGCTGGGTCTCTATCCACCATAAAGGCCATAACCACCATGAAGGTGTTAAGAAAAATGGTGCTAGGATGGTCATAAAGGCAATAACCACCATGAAACAAGGTAGAAAACCGCCCGCTAAAATGCTTTTCTTTTGGGAATCGGCTTGGGAATCCGTTGTGAAGTGAAATCGCGTCCGAGTTTCGGCAGCCCGAGCCTTTGTGATCCATTTGGGCGTGGCTTCAACTAGGGCCAACGGATCCTTGTGACGGAACTTGTTTCTTCAGGCTCGGAGCAGCCCTGTGCAGAAAAAAGTAGGGTTCTGAATCTGAAAAACAAAAAATCAAAATTTTAGCGGTGAAGCGGGGATTTCCCACTAAACCACAATACGCAAAAGTGTCATGCTTTCGTAATTTGGAAAGCACGGCCATTGCTCCCGGCCAACGCTCCATCTGCCAAGAAGCGATTCCCGCTTTCGCCGTCTCCTCGACCTGTGACGTGCTAATGGCGCTGGGCTCATCATCAGCGCAGGGCCGCAGGCGAGCACAGACTTGCATCCCTGGGTCGCCAGGGCTGGGCCAGCTGCTGAAACTTGGTTGACGTTGGAAGGGGAGCAAAACCTTAAGCTTTCGCAGTACAAGCAAAATGTAAAATGTTTCCCAACAACCACCGTGGAAATATGTTGAGACGCGCTTGTGTAGACATCCTCGGCCTGGCTGGAACCAACTGCGCCCAACCCCGGCTGACTGGTTCCACCAAGCTAGCCGAAATATGCGCGCCGCGGCCTGATTGAAGCAGAAATCCCGGGCGCCCTCCATCTCACGTGGAAGCGGCGGAATCCCATTTGGAAGCAGTTTCCCAAGAGGGGCCTTCCCTGGCTTGTCTGGAACCCGATTTTGTAAGGTTTTCCTCCAACCCAAAAACGGCGACCAAGCTGCAAAAACAGCGAGGGGTGTGTTTTGGTATTTGGGGGGGCCCCCTTTTGGGCTTGCAAAACACCATGGAGAGAAACAGAGCGTTTCGCGGGAGGGAAGCGGTAGTATGGAATGAGGTTGGGTTGCTCCTCTCCAGCAAGGCCAAGAGGTCGGCCGCAGCGCCGACAAATTTTGTCAGCGTTGGGACACCTTTGAATTTAGGAACACGCACAGAGGCGGCATGCTTGGCCGGGCACACAGGTCACGCGCCGGCAAGGTGCAAGTTGCGTAGCAGCCAATGCACTCCTACCGTCCAGGGTGCCGGTATAGCACACAGAGCAAGTGGGAGGCAGGCCTCCTTGCGCAGGCGGCACAGGCAAGAGACGTTGATTGCCTTCCAAGTGCACTGCAGTCGCAAGCTCTGACGGTGTCTGACAATCAGAGGCCAAAGAGCCCATCGCTAATGGCACGAACCAAGCCTGCAAGTTTCGTTGCGGCGCCGGATTTCCTGCAAGGCGACTGCTTCGTGTTCCAAGACTGATCGGGCAAAGCACTCCTGCGCTGCTCGTGCAGTGTTGGCATTCTCTTCGCCAAGCGTTGCCGCCTGGTATCTATTCACAACAATTTTGGCAAGTCGCTTCAGCTCCTCGCAGTTCCGCGCCTGGCGCGGAAAAACTGCCGCCCTCCCGGCTTTGGGGTGGGCATGTCGAGGCACAGGTCACACGTCAACTGCCAGGTCAGGGTGCTCTTGCACAAAGTGCGAACCGGGCAGGCTTGCGACCGACGGGGCAAGCCTTACGTTCATCTTCATCGTCTAGTCGGTCTCGGCCCTCCACACAGCTGCCCTTTACTTCGCGTGGACTGCCGATCCGTGGCATCGTGACGCCCACATCAATATCTTCACGCATTCAGACTCTGACCCTATCAGTGCCTTAGTGCGTGCCACCGCTTTAACATCTGATAGGGGGCCCCGTCCACTTTGAGGGGTGGTTGCCACTCATCGAGGCGCGGGAGCTGGGAGTGGGGATCTTGAAAAAAAAAAATGTTACCTTGTTGTTGTTTCTTTTGTGGAGTGAACGCAGTGGCACAATACCCCTTGGCGTTTTCCGCCCTACTTACCCACAAAGAAACTCTGCCATCTACTTTCACCCTCATATTACCTCGGCGGAACGTGGGAAGGATGGCAAGTGGGCTTCTTTTTGCAAAGCCCCTCATATTGCAACAACTGGCTAAGTGTTCGATTCTGAGAGGGCATGATGCCCCAAACATATGTTGGTTGCTGCTTGTTCGGTGTTCGGTTCCAGACTTGGCAAACTTGTTCTCTAGCCTCAAGTCTCGTCTCCTGTGGCCTTGGGTCTCACGTTCAACCCCAAACAAGGATTCAAACATTCAAACGGGCGTGGCTCACGTTTTTCTCAGCCGAGGCAAACCGCAGGTGTCAGTCTTTCTTCCTTGTGGAGGTTGATCAATAGTCCTGCCCCCAAATAACCACGGGTCGGCGACTTTTCCCATGTGGGACGTATCAAATCTTTTTAGTGGCGTTCCAACCGCTGGTCATCTCATATTCATCGGACCTTCTGATCAACCCCAGTCGACCAAGGTGCCCAACTTGGGGATTCCCAAATAAAGAAACCACCAGTTGAATGGTGTTTTAATGGGGTCATTCCCACATGCCCTGCAAAAACAGGGGATTCCAATTTTTTCAAACCACAGCTGCGCCAAAGCGTGGTGTCCCTTAGTGCCGCACGGTCCGCGGAGCCTTCCTCGTCCGGCTCCTTGCAGATGTCAATGCCTCGGAGTCGAAACAAACGAAACGAGCTCCGCAACACGGAACCTGACCCAAAAATGTTGATCAAGGACACGTCCTCCTTTTCAGGGGCCATTTATTTGTTAGGTTCCATGTTGCAGCAAGGTAGTTAAACAGTCATGTTGGGCTCTCCTTTAGCAAATACCAGGGTCTGGTTGTGTATCACATTCATTGGTTAAACGGGATATGGTCGTGTATAACATTCATGAATGTTGATTCCATATTGATCAACCCCTGTTTATTAATCGGGGAGTCCCTGGGTTTAATGGGGACCGCAAAGAGCCTCAACGGGGTCTGGCTCTTACCAGCTTCGTCCTATGCCCAGATATGGAAAGGCCCAAAGAATCAAGCCGGCCGGGGTGCCCTTGTCAGCTTTGTTTTGGGAAAGCAAGAGTGGCTCAATCACTATGAAGCCACTTGTTGGCTGTGGTTGTCAAAACTAGGTCTTCAAAATGGGTGGCCCTGGCAAAAGGCGGGCCAAAATTCCTGCGGCCCATATCCCGGTGGTGACTCATTTTGAGCGCACCCATTTTGAGACACAGCGGAGGAGTGCATGCAGCTGCCACGACAGTCCTCGGGGAGTGAGCTGTCGCTTTCCCAAAAACCCCGCCCCAAGCGGAGTGATTTTGTCACCCGGGGAGTGGAAAATACCAAACGCCCCAAATTCACAGGAGAGGTTCCTGTCGAACTCAAAGGACATTCTGCTAAGAGCAAAAATGTGCGGGGGCCAACCGGGCCAAACCCCCGCCACATCTTTAAACATCCCTTTCTTTCAACAGCCCCCTTTTGCCCACGGAAACCCAAAAAAATTGCCCACTCGCTTGGGGACCTCCCCCTGACAGCCTCCTTTGACGCCAAAACGTTGGCGGCCCGAAAAATCCGACCCCCGCCCTCTGCGGGCAGCAACTTGGCCGCCGGCGGGCCCCGCTCTCTTTCTTGAGCTCCTATCAGCCAAAAAAAATGCCCAGGTGATGTGAAAAGCACCCGGTCGTTTTCCTCAAACTCGAAACCTGGCATACAAAACGTGGTCTAAGCGAGTACAAAAAAAAAACGTCTCATCCTCTTGCAAAACCTTGGAGGATGTTGGAAGGGGAGCAAACATTCTCATTTTTTAGCAGTTAAGTGGGGATTTCCCACTAAACCATCATAAGCAAAATGTAAAATGTTTACCAACAACAACCATAAAACGCTGCTTGCCGCCTTTTTGGGTTGAACCATTCATTGCGTTTCAGGTCTCAGGGTGAAAACTAGATGCTTGAAATGGCAACCAACAACATGCGACGTGTTGGGACTGCTTCGTTCCTACATATTGCAAGCAAACTAACAAATGAATTCGACCACAAGCTAAACTACTGTCCCCCCTGTTCCCCTACTGTACCTGCGACATGCATCGTGCTTTTGTGACATGTAAAATCAGAAAACGACCACAACAGCCGCAGGTGTCGAAGCTCCAAGCCAACCATCAAGCGCATCTGCAATTCGAGCCCCGTCCAGAAGCTCTTCGGTGGATTCTTCAGAAGAGCCCCTTTCTACCCTATGGTAGTTCCCCAAAGGCTCAAGTCCAGCAACTCGGGGAGGGAAATGAGGCAGAAACCGCCTCAGAAAGAGAAGTAGGCCAACCATGTCGAAATCACCCAAAGGGGATTTCGCTTGTTTTTGTGCACCAAATCGAAAAGGCACCTCTCATGAGTTGTTCGTCCGGAAGACAGCTCCAGAAGGGATCCATTGGGTTTCTTCGGGATACAAAGGGAATCCAAGAGCCCAAGGTGGCAAGCCTTAGGTCGCGAGAACTTGCCCCTGGCTCCCCGCACTCGCAGTCTCGCCTTGATGGTCTCTCCGCCTCGCCCGATGAGCATGCCAATCAGCTCGTGGGGCACTTTCAGCGTGCAGGCCTCGGCACGTGCCACTTGGCCCCGGCAGATACTTGGCTGGAATTCGGGCCCCCGCAAAAACAACACTATATGTTTTGCATGGTGAGCGGACAACCATGGGGACCCCAAAAGCAAAAAGTCAAACAGGGGAGCTAATTTTGGGGAAGCATAGAGATCCTGGAAATTCCAGAGCTGAAACGCATCTTCGGAGTTCCTGAAAGCCAAATGTCAGCCATATTCGTCCTTAGGTCCCGGAGATTGATGTTGATTTCGTACCCCTCATTAAATGTTATCAGAGTGTGATACACAGATCGTTGCTTGATTTGTACGCTGTGTCCCTGTAGGACACCCAGTAATTTTTTGTGGTTGGAACACCCCCCCCCAAATCTGCTGGAGTCACAATCGCAAGCTATGAAAGAAAACTACCGGAAACCAACGAACTAACTATAACTATGAGAGTCGCTACTTCTGTGTAGTGAATGACCACCATTTTGAGAAACACTCTCTTAGGATTTGGAGCTGTCGCACATGTGCACCTCTTAGCCTGTGAAAAAAACTGTCCCTTTCCATCTCAAGTAGGACTCAAACCCCTTACAAGCGAACAGTGTCCTTTCCCATTTCTACAAACGACACGTGCCCTCCAAAAATAACGCCGCCATTTCAACCCGCCTTTGGTCCCTGAGAATCTGGTGAAAAGGGAGTACCTCAACTTGCACCTTCCGAAAACCTCTTCGTTTTTCCAACGACTTCGGCCCTGACTCCGCTTTCAACTTGTCGCACTTGCCCAGTTTGGACCCGGAAGACGAGAGAGGGGTACCAAACAGGAAACCATTCTGGTCAGGGTCGATTCGCTTTGGTTGCAACTGAGTTGTAGCTTTCCTTTTGTGAGACCTTCCACCCAACCCAATCTTCCATTTCTTAAGTCCCCTGGAAAAAATGAGCAAATGTGTCCAGAAATTAGTGAAATCGATTCCAACTTCAAAACCAACAGAAAAAAAGCCATAAACTGTTCATTTGGCTGTGGGTCAAGAATAGGTACCCCAAATGGCTTGCCCTGGAAGTGCACACATGGACCAAAACCTGCGGTCCATATCCTGGTGGTTCAATTTTGACCCATACCCATTTCAGCAAATGGAAGCCAGCCATTGGGTGTGGGTCAAAATGAAACCACCACAGGACCGCCTGTTTTAGTCCTGGGTTCCATTTACCAGGGCAACCCATTTTGGCTTTACCCTATTGTTGACCCACAGCCAACTAAAGAAAATGGTGGTTTCCCCCTATTTTGGTGTTGAAAAAGCAACATGTTTCAACTGGTTGCAAAATGGAGATCTTTTAAGGAGCCCTGTACATAAAATGTTCAACTCAGCAAATGGAAGCCATTGAAGACAGCTCGGATCTCCTGAAATGGGCTTCCGGGCATTTGGGTTCACCTGCCCCGTCCTCTCCTTCGCCTGGCGCTTTTATGACAACGAAGCGAATGCCCCAGACTTGGCGGAATGCCATGAAAAGCAAAAAAAACGTGGAAAACCACGTGGAAAACGTGGAAAACGTGGAAAACATGAAAAACATGAAAAAGCAACAAACAAAAAATTGTGGAAAACCAAGGGAAAGCCAATGGAAACCAAAGGGGAAAACCAAGGAAACCTAGGGAAACAACCAAGGAAAGGCCAACTTAGGGACAAGGGTCAGTCTCGAACCAGAGAAAACCCTGCGCATCCTGATTAAACCAACTGAACTCGAAACCCTGGAAGCTCCCAAACAGAGATCCATAGCCCATTCGAGAAAAGGTAGCTCCCGCAACGGAAGGGACCAAACTTGGTGGTGCTCTGTAGGAAATGACCCTTGCGGGTGATTCCCTGCCTATCGCACCAGCAAGAAAAACACGAACACATCCGGGCTGGGGGAGATTCACGAAGACCCTGGACTCGGCTGCTTCTCTTGGGACCAAAGAATGTTACACCGCTGCGGCTCGAAACCTGCGGGGAATTCAAACGAAAACATGAAAACAGGGCAGGACACACACACACACAAATATGTATATATATATATACATACAATTCACAAAAGCTGAATTTGAGATCGGATCCCTTCTTCTTTTCCTTTCGGATGAGCCTCGTCCGCTCTTGCGGTCTTCTTTGCGAATTCAGAGCATTGTTGAGATCATCCCCCCTGAAACCAGTCCGAACGCATGGTTGCACGTACAGGTCCCATGGTAGCTGCAGGGTTCCAACATCCGCGATTTGCGACGATGAGCAAACGCCTGGCCCAGCGCTTCTGGGCACTCCTTGAGCTGCGCAGTGCATGTGCCGTCTTGCTGTTTGCCGATGCTTGCCCGATCACCTTTTTACTAGGCTGTCCTCAGATCCCCAGCTAAAAGTGACTAACTTTTAGTCGGCGAGATACGGAAAACCAACCACTAAACACTAAAAAGCTAAAAAGCTAAGGGACCGGATGGCTGAGAGCCACCAAGTTTACTGAAGTCTGCCCACCGGGTCAAGTGATCCTGCAACGTAGGGCACCCGCAAGAGGCGCGTGTCCTTCCCGGCAGGTGCTCTCACCGGGCAATTTCATGAGCCGCATTTGGAGCAGCTTCCAGATGGAAGGGTATGGACCATGCTCCTCTCCCGGGCATTCGGGGTGTTCCAACAAGGAGGCCGACTCAAAGTAAAGAACCTTTATCATGGTGAGCTCGTTATACCTCCAGGTGAGCTCGCTTGAAAATGCATAATACACATATATATATATATATACATACATGTATATATATATATATATGTATAAATGCCTGTCCCGTCATCCTACCCTTCGGAAGCACAAACCGCTTCCACTTCCGAATGCAACTCAAACCAAGCTGGAAACCGGTTCGCTCCCAGCGTTCGGTCCCAAACTGACCTAACCACCCCCCCCCATACATGAATCAAACAAAAAAAACACACATAGAAAAATAACACAACTCATGGACCGCATTTGGCAACAAGTTTGGAGTCGACTTTTGTTGCCCCAAAAATCGTCTGAGCAGGGGGTTGGATCTGAATCCTACCAGTTTGGGCTGAACTCCCTGAAAACTGTCTGGCCTCTCCGAATTTCTGGCCATTTCTTGGGCTGAGCTCGAGAATTGGCTGGCGCCGTCTCCCAAACGCCGAAAAACACGCGACGCTGCCCCGCGCCACGTGCCGAAGGCCAACGCGGTCTCGCCTTCTCAATGGCATCCTCGATGAGCTTCTTGGCCTTGTCCACGCAGTCCTGATCGCTCGAAACCGACCATCGACGAATTTGTGGTAACACGGCACATGCCACAAGTGAGCATGTTCGAGAGAATCTCTGTATCCATGTTTGTTGTTTCTGTTTTTTTACTGCAAGTAAGCTAGAGAATCTGTACATCCAAACTTGTTGTTTTGCACATCGCTGAAAATGAGAAGACTTGGACCTTCTCAAAGCCATTGTCCCTTGCTAACCTTCATCTACCCGGGTTTTGATTGTGACTCACGTGTCTCCAGCAAGCACCCTGATTCAGCACCCCAGTCAGGCAACCCGCACCTGCCTCGATTTCGCTGAAGAAACCCCCACCTCCTTTGAAGAAAGCACCCCATTCAGCCCAAGCAATCTAGGCAAACAAACCCTGTGTTTGGGATACTCGCATTGCCGGAGCCAGCAAAACAAGCAAGACGCTAGGGAAACAAACCTGTGTTTGGGATACAAATCAAGCAAGACAACAGGGAAACAAACCTGTGTTTGGGACACTCCCATTTGCTGTAGCCAGAAGAACAAGCCAGACTGTAGGGAAACAAACCTGTGTTTGGGATACTCCCATTTGCTGTAGCCAGAAGAACAAGCCAGACTGTAGGGAAACAAACCTGTGCTTGGGATACTCCCATTTGCTGTAGCCAGAAGAACAAGCCAGACTGTAGGGAAACAAACCTGTGTTTGGGATACTCCCATTTGCTGTAGCCAGAAGAACAAGCCAGACTGTAGGGAAACAAACCTGTGCTTGGGATACTCCCATTTGCTGTAGCCAGAAGAACAAGCCAGACTGTAGGGAAACAAACCTGTGTTTGGGATACTCCCATTTGCTGGAGCCATTTAAAAAAAAAGGCTCCCAGAGGAATCGCCTTTCGTGAGACCCCCCCCCGAAACGCGGCTTTTTGGACTATCCGGGCCTGCAGACCGCTGATATACACGGTGCGCCTCAGCAGTCGTGCAAAGGCTCGAGCGGTCAGGGCAAGCGTGGCGTAGGGAAACCAAAAGGAAACCTCAAGGTCCAAGGTGGGACCGGAAAAAAAAAAAGAAGAAGAAGAAGAAAAAGAAAGAAAGGAGAAGAAAAAAAAGAGAAAAAAAGGCTTCCCAGAACCCCCAACCGTCTTTTCATAACTCGCTTGTTTTGGATACTTTGTTAGAAACATAACTCTAGACCTGGGCATGTGACTTATGGACGAGGTATGAAAGGCTTCAAATCATTAGGTACCTTGGAACTAAACTAAGTCTCGTAAGGGAGAGCCACTCATGCGATCCTTAAACGCTTGCAATTGTTCAGCCCCTTCTATTTCTTGCAATTTGCTTCTTGTCCCTTGTGTGGGTGTGGCTCAAAATTCAAAAGCTAGGGCAAACCTAGCAGGTTTTCGTCCTTGGTTCCATTTTTGGCGCGCGCATCTCGTTTTTTCATTCGTCATTCGGCCTTCGTCGTTAGAGCCCCTGGGCCCCTTGGCCGAGCCGTCGGCGCTGGGAGCGAGCGCTGGGCGCCCGCGCTCGCCGGCCTTGGCGCCCTCGGTCTCGGTCTTGGAGATCTCGATGCGGGCGCCGCTCTCCTCACACGACCGGATCCGCGCTCCGGAGCCCGCGGATCCCGCGCTCCGATCCCGCGATCGCACGCGATCGAAGGTGACGAGCGAGGTCAAAGGCCAGTGCGGACGGCCCCACTTTGTTGTTTTTTTTGCGGGTAAAAGCACACATCATGTTGTTGGGCGGGTAAAATGGGTAAAAGCAAGGGTCGGGTCTTCTTTGGGGGGTTTGGCACACATGCGTGTGAATTCGGAGTTCTGGGCTTGAGGCGGGATGTCCACCACTTTTGTGGTGGTGTCCCCCTAAAACAAATAAACATGGGCGACAGCGGAAGGCCTTCCACTGAAGGGACTTCCTACAACACCGAAGACGGTTGTCAAGACCTAAGTGATAGGTTGAAGGGAAACACCCTGTCTCATGATGAGGTAAATTAGCTTTTCAGCGTTTCCACACATTCACTCATGTTTCTGGTAGGTCCCCCAGTTGCTGACTTTCATATCCAGTAAACATGAGCCCAGTTTGGGGCGGCGTCTCCAGGACCCAAAGATGTGGTCATTTGCTTGGGAGGTAGATTCCTGAACATGGTTGCCAAAGTTCAGTGTCCCAATGTTTTTGGTTGGTAACCAGATTTAGGGGCCATGGTGTGCCATCTATTGCATCTCGCTCTCGGAAAATTGTGGGCAACTTTTGGACCTGTTAGTATCGCCATAAACTATATGGCTGGCTCGTCTTTTTCCCGAGCAAATGAGCGGTTTTCCTCTTGGCTTCCCGTTCAACCCACCAGAAAAGGAGCACCGAGCCTCAACAAGCAGACAGACCCACCTCGTGAGGAACTGACAGGTCAAAAGGTCCTCCTTGGGCAGCGAGCTCAAACTTGAAACAGAGATTGGTGTAGTTGAAAAACCCATTGAAAGAGCACACCACAGCTGGGTTGATCTCTGGCGTGTGTGGGGGGCAAACAAAATATGTTTCGCAGGTTTTCAGTTTTTGTTGAGCAAAGGTCAAGTCGGCCAAACAAATGTATATATATATATATATATATGGTGCCACGAACTCCCCCCACCCCCCATTTTGCCCCTCCCCCCCACCCCGCATCACCCACACCCCCCAACAATCCCTTCAGCACCGCTCGGATCTCTGTCCCAGTTTCCCCCCCCACCACAGCAACCCCTCCGTGGAGAGCTGCTTCACCACCTCTCCACCCTGGCGTCGTTTCACTTGGGACGCGCCTCCTGCTCAGCTTGGAACACCCAAAAAAGATCGCCCAGGTTTGTCTGGTCACCTAAAACCAATGTTCTACAACCATAGCGGGTTAAGCAAGAGTGAGCCAAGTAAAAGTTTGTTCTCTTTCTCCCACATGTGTGGGTTGAGGAGTTTGTGTTCCACAGCTACATCTTTGCAGGGTAAACGAAGCAGGACTACCCTGGCCCTGTTTAAGTGGTCGAGCATACTGCCAGACTGCCTTCGGGAGAAACATGCACCATTCCTCAGCCTTCTTGGATTGCATGGCAAGGGTGCCAACACAGCGACCCATCGCGAACGGAACTTCCCGTCTCCGACGAAAACAATATTTGTGGCCGCCGTGCTTCTTGTGCTCATGACTTGTGTGGAAGATCTCTGGGCCGAGCACCCGGGTGTCTGGAAACCTTCTTTGCCCCTTTGCTCCTTGTGCTTGTGGCAACATAGATCACCAATTTCATCTCATTTCGCCTCTCCAATTCGTGGCTTGGATTGGTGGTTTGGCTTGTTTGCCCCTTTGCTCCTTGTCTTTTTTAGCAAAGATACACGAACCGTCGCAAACCAGGAGACCTTCATAGGGTTTTCGGCCCTCAATCTGAGCCTAAGCCTAAGCCAATCCGGAAAAGCAACCCTCAAGCAGGGGCTTCTCACAAAAGGCGGCCCTCATATACCAGATCGGGGGTTCGCATCAAAACTGCTTGGTGAAAGGAAACCCAAAACAAGCCCAAAGAAAACCAAGGAAGCTCAAAGAACGCCAACCATGCGGCCGGATTTGACAAACCGCCTACTTGCTGGCGGCCACATTCTTCCCGCATCCTCACATACTCCAAACCTTAATCAACCTCCAAACCTGTAAACAAGAAATATACCTATCTCCTTTTGCTTCCCTTTGCTTCCCGCCAAAACAAGGGGTTGCCCCCCATCCCGAAAAGACTGCACCTCTCTTTCAAGGCCGCCCCAGCCATCCCAAAAGAAGATGGCGAACCATCAATGTCAGCATCCCAAAAGCGGAAGTGCCCCGTGTTTTCCTCCTTGCCCGCGACAAAACCAGAAACCCTCAAGCAGGGATCCTTACATTATACACCTGAACATTGCTACTTGTTTTCTGGTAATTTCCAACTTTATGTTGGTCTTGAAAGAGCCATCCGTGTTTCAAATGGAACTGCAAAACGAGTTTCTTTTCAGGAGCCCAAGAGATTCCCTCAAGCGTGTCAAGGCCCGCCCGGCCGATCAGCATACCCACGAACTCGGCGCCAATGGTCCTGGTCTCATTTGGAGCCTGTTCCCCCGAGTGACCCGAAGATTCCTTGCTTGGCGTTGGGTTAGGGGAGCAAAAACAAAAATCGTGATTGTGTTTTGCAGCTCAGTGGATTTGGATTTCCACCACTAAACCACAAAAAGCAAAAATGTCGAATGTTTCTCCACAACAACCGTGATTAGGCCAAGTTGAAGCTCGCTGGAAACCGAATCGAGACTTCAAATCCTGCGACATCAGAACTTAGGGGATTCACATGTCCACCAACCGTCTTTGAGACCTTCTGAAATCAAATCTTATGGCCAAACGATGCTTGCTTTTGTCGGTCCCTGGCTTGACACAATCCCTGGTCTGCAACCTGAAGTAATTTGACGCACTCCTCAAAGCGGTTGTTAACCCAGAAGCTCACAAATTGTCCCACAGGATGTGAAAGCACTATGAGAAACCAGGATTGGACAAAACATCCTGCTTGATTTTTCCGGTGTCCCATTGTAGAGGGAATCCTGGACTTTTGGGACCAGGGTCCACTGGACCGAATCAGATGTCAACTTGAGACGCCGATCGGTTTGATATGGATGAACCAGTCTAAGATGGTGTCCAGTACCCCCAAACCGAAGCTACCCCATGTACAGCCACGAAAGCCGCTGTATATGGGGATTTACCCTGGAAAGAGTGGTTTGGGGATACTGGAAACCGTCTTAGATCTGGAGAACCGATCGGGACATCGTGTCGATGACTCGAGCAGTTCCAAGCAAATATCGGAAAGTTGGCGATCTCGCACACTTCGTGAACTGTGCCATGCCCACACGCCACGAGAGTCATCCGCGAGGTTTCTTGTGGAATCTACCAAAATTCCGCATCCAAACCCCGTGATTCTGCTTGAGTTCCACCCCCCCCAACTAAAAAAATGCCAACACATCGGCAAAGCCCGGCGCCGTCTCTCGGGCCCCGGCATCACCACCGGCTTCGCAGCCACCAGAGGCCCGGCCGCCTTTGCGCCTGCGAAAGCGACGCCCGGAGGCCCACCCCACTCAACCCAGAAGCCAACTAAGTGCCCTCCAAATATGGCTTTGGTAAGGACCTTAAGGTCTCATGTTCTTGTTGGCATGGTCCCTGAGAATTGCGCTTAAAACCAACCAAAATGGGGCTACCCCCAAAAAAATGACACGTGAAGTGGTTCAGTGGGGAAAGACGAAAAAGAAAATCAGCCAGAGTTAAGCCGGAGCAGCCAGACTCGACGAATTGGTCCTTCGGGTCAGGGTGCTCTAGGGCTAACTTCCCCATTTTCGTCGGTGCTTCTTTCCCGAACGCCGGTTCTTTCGGAGTAAAGGACTAGTTTCTCAAAGAGCGATGTTTGATGCGGACTCAGCCCGAAAATGGTTTACCCAGAACCATGTAAAGAGTCAAAAGGGCGGAGCTCCGAAATTATTTCTGGTCGGGATTCTCCCCAACCTTCATCGACCCGAATCGGTTCTGTCGGATTTGAGCAAGTGGCAACCAGGAACGAAATCGAAAATCCGAAAGTCGGATCAAGCAATCCCGCTTGACCCCAATAGAAACGAGTCGACGCGTGCCCGACGCGTGCCCGACGCGTGGCTCCAAACCTGCCCAGCGAGACGTGGAGCCGCACGATGTGTATATATATATATATGTGTATATTATGTATGTACATACATAGATATATACCCTGCATGTACGTACTTACGTAGCTACGTATGTTCATATATATATATATACAGGGATCCTTACATTATACACCTGAACATTGCCACTTGTTTTCTGGTGGTTTCCACCTGAACATTGCCATCCATGTTTCAACGGGCAAGGCAAAACGAGTTTCTTTTTTCAGGAGCCCTGAGATATATACATATATATATATATATATACATATACATATACATATATACATATATATATATATATATATATGCATATATATATATATATATATATATATTTCTATGAGGCGGCATTGAGCTTCTCGGCGCGCGGGGGATTTTTTTTTTTCCGGATCCCCTTCCCCCAGGGCCTGCGGGCTTTGAGCCAGGCCTTGGGCTCGCGCCGCCAACCAACCACCCATCGCTACTCTTGTGGTATGGCAGCGAAGAACTTTTTGTTTTTTTTGCAGAGCCCCGGTAAAAATGAGCAGAGGAAAAAAAGAAGAAGAGGAAAAAAAAACAGAAGCCGAGAACAGTGAAGCAACTGCTCTTCTTGGCTTATTGTAGTGGTGATTTTGGACCATTAAAAAGGCGAAGCTAGCACAGGAAAATATGGGACCATGGTCGAAAAGGCAGTTTGTTGTTGGGACGAGTGCTGGAAAAATAGGAACTGTTCGGTTGTAAGGGAAACCTCTGGGTGTTTCCCCAGTTCCTGTTTTCCTGGGCCCAGAAGGGCAAAAACACAGACCATGGCTTGGCATCTGCAATTTTCATTTAAGGGAACCAAGCAGAAACTCCATGGAATCTCCAATTCGGGGGGACCCCGCAAGAAGAAAAAAAAGCCTTTGGAGTAAGAATGGTTGAGTTCGAAAATTGTAACAAAACATGGCTAGTGGGGGGTCAAAATGATTGCTCCAGCAAAAGAGTCCCCTGGTTTGAAATATAAAGGAAGATTGGGGAATAGTCATCGGCCACCAACCAAACTCCCAAACGGCCAGTTTTGCACTAAAACAAAGAAGAAAGCGACCAAAAAAAAAGCTGCTCGCCGCCCCTCATACACACCCCCTCTGGAAAGACCCAAATAGATCAAAATTGGAGGTGCGTTTGGCGTATCGACCCGACCTTTGATCCTTGTCCCCTTCACGACCATTGAAGTCGTCAGACAACTGGCGCAAAAGGGAAGTGCGGGCCGATTGAAAGCGAAACAACGGGGAAACCTCCCGTTTGCTTGGGTGTTGGGCCACAATTCTGAGACAAAAGCCATATGAGCCACGGCAAAGATATTATCCCACTGGACATGGGAAAATCAGAGTGAGAGAGTCCAATTGGACCATGGACAAATCCGAAACCTTCTTTGAGGCTACCCCTTCTTGCTGGGTTTAAAGGGAACCAAAAGGAGAACTCACCACCATATTAGGGGGGCCTCCTGAAAAGAAGACGCAGGCTGATCCAAAGGTTCTTTACGTGGGATGACCATTGGTTGGAAAACCACGAAAAAGATGATAGTTCAACCACGGGAAAAGTGACCCATGGTCAAACCTGGGTCCCCTCAGGTTGGTACATGCTCCCCCAAAAGAAGTCGACCATCCTCCAGATATTCTCCCACAAATTCTCTGGCGGAATGAGAGCTATCCGGGGAAAAGTTGGTGCCCTTGCTCCCGGAAGACGACTCTAGGGCCCGGCAAGGCTGCATTGGGAACCGGCCCGGAGGATGGCTGGAAGCCTCCAGCCAACAAAAGAACATCAAGCCCAGAGACGTGGCACCTGCTTTCCGTGCTTGGTTTTGCATTTTTTTGTTGCGGTGTTGCTTCGTGGTTGTTGTTTTTTGACAAAGGAACGACTACCCTTGTGTGACGCGCTTTTGTTTCGCGTTGATGGTGTTTGTTTGTTGTTTTGTCGCTTTATTTCTTTTAACATTCCCACCTGCCATGGTCCATTGAAGAGGAAAGTGATCTTCCAGGTACCCTCCAGCAAGTGCTATTTTTGAAGGGAGGAAGGACAGATCGATTACTCTGTTTGGCACGTTCTTGTCGTGATTGATTTTGACAAAGGAACAATGTCTTAAGAAAGGATCGACTACCAATTTGTTTGGTTGGTGGAATTTTGCCGGGATAAGTGAGTAAGAAAAGTCGGCTCAGTATTATCAAGAGCAAAACAGTGCAACTAACTTCTGGGGTCAGCACCTCTGGAACCTTGTCCGGTCAACAATCGCTCCATGGAACTCACCGAATTTTCCACCCTTCGGAAGCCATTCCATCGCTACACAGCCTGAAACCTTCTGAAGCCTTCTGGAACACCAAAACCTTCTCGCTCCACAAATCTCCTCCGGAAGCCGGGCAACTAGGACCCTCTTTCCAAGTCTGGCAACCATCCAGGATTAAACCTGCTTTTGGGTAGGCCATACATGTGTCCCATCAACCAGTCTACAACAGATGGGACACGCACAATCGGGCCGTTCTAATCCCGAAAGAAGTATTTGTTCTTCGTCAGCCCCTTTCCACCAACGGAAGTGGACAGCTGCCTGCCATGGACAGCTGCGCGGACCATATAGTGTCTTCCCAAAATGTGCAGTCAGCTTCGGTGCCCAAGCCTGTTGCACGTTGCTTGACCTTCAAAGGCATAGCAAGAGGGGTACATTGCAACCGCAGCTCCATGCGGGCGACTCTCGCAAGAGGCCGCGAGAGGGATGTCCTTAAAGGTGGGACATGCGGCTTCTCCGTCCCCTTCTTGGTGTGGCTTCAAACGCATCCTACGTCTTCCCTTTTCGTCTCCCTTTGACTTGGCCTCTTGTTGACCTAGTCTCCTTTCCGCGAAAAATTCGCTGGGGCAGTTTTTACGAAGTAGGCGAGCGCTCCATCAAAGCCCTATTGCAGCTTGTTCGACAAAGGGGCCGCCCGCAAGCAGGCAGGCAGGCCAGACAGACAAAGACAAAGGCAAAGGCGAAGCCGAAGCCAAAGACAACGAGCACGACAACGACCACTGCAAGAACAAAGACAAAGACAACGACAACGAACAGCGAACTACGACAACGAACAACGAACAACGACAACAACAACGAACAACGACAACGACAACGAACAACGAACAACGACAACGAACGACGACAAAAAGCAAAGACAAAGACCAAAGACAAAAGCCAAAAGCCAAAGACAAAGACGAAAGACAACAACCCACCCACGCACCCACCCACCCACCCACCCAGCCCCTACCGCAGCCCCCTAGCCCACTCCGCCTGGAGGCATAGGTGCCCCCGGGAAGGGCGGAGCACCGGGCACCATCGGCAGGCCTAGACGTTGGATGGGTGGCGGGTCCTCTTTTTACTAGGCTGTCCGTTTTCGGATCCCCCGCTAAAAGTGACTAACCTGTGGGCGAGTGGATACGGAAAACCCAACACTAAGGACTAAAAAGCTAAAAGGCTGAGTGGATGGCTGGGAGCCACCAAGTTTAGGGACCCCACCAAAAGAACGGTCTTTCCCCTTGGTGTCCCTGTAAACCTACGAAAGAAAAAAGAAAAAGACTCCCGCCCAGATGTCAGGCGACCTGCCAAAGCTGGAAGTTGAGTAAACCCGAAACCATTATAAAGAACGAAAGAGCAAGTTTTGCTGGGACCGTCACCACCATCAGGATTCGATTGTGGCTGTGACAACGACAAGACGTCTTGGCCAGACTTCTGAACTTGCTCCTGGCCAGCAAAAAGCAGGACTGCCAAGCTTCAGGCAAACATGGTGCAACCGCCAGTGTCTCAACAGCGTCCTTTCAGTTTCTCCAAGGGGACCAAGGTGCCAAGTCCGGCTTCGAACACCTGCTTCTGTCCCCGTGGGTTTCTCCAGACCTAGAAATGCTGCGCGGCGAGCCTGCGGCTGGATGGGCACCCAAAAAGCAGCAAAGGAGTGCAGTACCCAAACATAGAGTGGGAAGTACCTGTGCAATCCGCAACTTGTCCCAGACTCGCTTTTTCCACAAAGCCAACTGGGATTGGTGGGAACACGTGCAGTCCATCAAACAAGTACCATCCCGTTTCGCCCAAAAGCGCTTCCTTCAGCCGACGCAGCTGCTGAGGGCCGGGCCAAAGGGCATGCCCGGAAACGGCATGCCAGGCCTTCAATCGATCCACGGCAAGGCCGAACATTGGGGCTGGCAATTTACGGCTTTGGCGAAAAACTGGTTCATGGAACAGAGCCAACTTTCTGAAAAGACTGTGGGTTAGAATCGACCGCGATTTGAGTTGCAACAAAGAAATACCAAAGTCGGAAACTGGCGGTCACGTTATGTTTACCCGTCACCGTGGGGGGACTTTGATCAAACATCGAATTGGTTCAACACCTTTGTCTATAGCCCATTCTTGGTGGGCCAATACGGATTCTGCAGTGTTCCACGCTTGAGTGCTCCAAAAAATGACGGACCACTCACTGACCACGAAGAAGCCCCGCATTGCCAAAAAAAACTTGAAAAAAAAAAGGACGAGAAGGAAAAAAACTCGGGACACCAAAGCCATCGTCACCGCGAGCGCCGGGCATCATCATCAGAGGAGCTCCTGACGACTTCTCGCAAAGTGGGTGCTGGGCGTGGTGGGAGGGGGAGGGGTGGCTAGGACTGTCCGGTTATTGCCCTTCACTTACCCAAATCGGTGTTGGATGGTTTTGGCGCAACAGGTCTACTTTTGAACAACGGCGAGTTGATCTTGAGGCGCATGGCGAAGAAACCAAAAGCCAGGTGTTGCCTCCGAGTTGTGAACGAGGGAAAAAATAACAAAAGGAGCAACAGCGGCCTAGTGCCTAGCGACTTTTCAACAGGGCCATGAAGGACAGAGAGTGATTTCCCCTCTCCCATTGCTCCAGATGGTTGTCTCTTTTTTAAGGGTCAAAAAATTGTGGTTTTCCTTTGGCTTCCCGTTAAGCCAACACCAAGAAGGATTGGCTCAAAAAAGGACAGACCCAGACTTCATCTGGTTGCATCCACCAAATGTTCCCCACGCCGCCTCTTCCGTATCTGCCAAGCTTTCTTTGCAAGCCTGCCCCTTCCTCTCCCAGATTCATGCCTAACTTGTGAAAAGTCCACCAAAAAGTTCCAAAGTCTTATCTCGGGATTTCCACCCAATCCCCCACCCCAAAACCTTTTGCTCAAGCTCTCCAGCTCCAACTCCAGTCTGCCCAAAACATGCCCAAAACCGAGCTTCCCATCCCCAACTCAAGTGATCCCAATTCGGCCTCAGGGCCGGGAACCCCCGAGAACCATCCCCATCCCTGCTCCAGTCCGCCTGACCTGGAAGCCCAGGGCAGCGTTCAAGTTCCCCCCCCCCCAAGCCGGCCCAACTCTCAAATCTCAAACCCCCCTCCAGAAACCAACCAATCCCCCCCCCCCCCGAAACTGTCAAACCCCAAAAACGTTTGCACCTTCGCGTGGCCCAAGCCATGCGCCCACCCTCTACCTTGGAAGCCAGCTCACACATTTTGGCGCCGAATCACTCAGTCTAATAATCAAGACTCAAGTCAAACTAAAGCACAATGTATACCTCAACGCTCGCCAAAAGCGGACTGGCCGAGGCGGGCAACCCGAAGCGTTTGCAACAAACCCAAAGTTCCAACAAGCCAACGGGGGTGTTTAAGAAGTCAAGGGAGTGGTTCGTGATGCAAAATCCAATTAATCGCAAGCTGGTTTCGATCCTAAATGGAAACAACTCCTTCCAAATGTGTTCAAGAAATCCTCGACTGCTTGATCTACATTGCCGTCAGGCCATCCCCCAGGTTAACCCCCTCTATCGTTCACCAGTGGAAGAAGAACTCTGAACGAACGTTCCTAACTTTGGGCGTTGGAGCTCTTGTCTCTCTCGGCAGGCCCGATTTCGGAACGGGACTCGGCATTCGAGCGCGTGCGAATCCTGGCATCCCAGGCATAGATGGCATCAGCCCTGGCAGAGAAGGCGTTCGATTCCAACGCTGGCTTTCCGAAGTTTCCAAGGCTTTTCCGTTGGCCCAGGAAAGCCCTGCGAGCCATAACCCGTGTCAACACTGGATCCTGGTCCGCAGGAAGCTACTGACGTCCGTCTCGCAGGCGCGCAGAGTCTGTGCTGCCGCGCTGTGCTCACACTCGGGGAATAGGGCGTGGGGCAGATCGGTTGGGTTTGGATGAAGACATTTGATCTTCTTGCCCTGCAAGGGTCGTTCCCCAAACCATAACCCCTCATCTAGCAAAATACAGGGAGGTCAACATTGATCCCCGTCGCCCCGACTGGCCAGAATTTGGTGGGAGGAGTTGGGGGTAACCGGTTAACCAGACAGGGCTCAAAACTTGTGCATGAAATGCTGCATTCCAACCGGATTCCAAACCTCCATCTTGCATGGGGAAACTCAACAGAAACCAAAAGGCAACTCGGAGAGGTTTTTAAAACCAACCCTCCGAAAGGATAAGATACTGATTGAAACCACCTGACTGATGACCCGCCCCCTGACGCGAAAAATCATGGAGACCGCAGGCAACCCCAAAGCAGGGCAAATCGAGCTGGAGCCCTCGCATTTCGCCGTGCCTGGCATCGAGCCCGGCCTCAGAGTACGAGTTTGAAGCACCTCTGCGCCACCAACCAAACAACCAACCAACTAAACAGCAAACAAAACAAAGCAAACAAACCCAATAAGTAAAACAAACAAACAAACAAACAAACAAACTAACTAACTAACAAACTAACTAACTATCCTAAACCCATCCCCACCCCCTGTTGTCTCCATGCTCCAGCTGCCTCCAGCTGCCCTGAAGCGAGCACCCACACCTGGCCCCAGCCCCCTTGCCCTTGCGACTACGGCTGGGCTACTCTGACTCTCAAAGTGAAAGGCCAAGGTCCAAGCCCTTAGGACTACGGGGCGAAGCGCATGGCTTTGTTCTCGAGCTGCTGCCCCGCCCCTCCTGGCCACCCTTGCGCCCGGCGCGGCCTCAAGCTGCAGCCAGCCCCTCCCCAGTCACCCATCTTGGGCCTTTGCGCTTGCGCTATCTGGCTCTGGCCCGCGGCAGCTCCAGCCACCTGCCTCAACCCACAACCCCTTGCGTCTAGCACTGACGCTTTGTATATCCCTTTCACCGACCACCGTCGCTTGAGTGTTAAGTTCCTGGCACCCACTTTGCGCTGCCGCCCGCCAGACTGCTTGGCCCAGTCCCGCCATCGTTTTCTCTAGCTTGCATCGTTCCTCTGGCTTCATCCCTTCCAAGACTAAGAAAGGATCCTCCAACAAAAAACAAAACAAAATCCAGAGGGGCCGAAAGACTCAAGCTGATACTGACCGAGGCGGGCAGCGCGACATTAAGTCAAACAGGCAAACAAAAGCAAACACCACAAGCAACTAAATAAACAAATAGACAAACAAACAAACAAACAAAAAACAAACAAACAAACAAACAAACGAAAAACAAACAAACAAACAAACAAACAAACAAACAAACAAACAAAGCAAAACA